AATTCATGTGGTATTAGTGACTCCTTGTGAATTGTGTTATGGACTCGTGTATCGAACAGGGTGCTCATGTACGAGATGAAAAGCAGTTGGTCCTTCATGTCGGAATAATTGAGATCTTAAACATGGGGTAAGCCTAACGTGTGTGGCACCGTTCATTGCACAAAATCAGGTTTTGGAAGAGATTTTAGTGATTCTTAGTGGGGTACTCCTACGAGGTGAAGCTAAGTTGTCTCTAGTACGAGTGAAATTTTCACCCGTTAAACGGTTTGCCTACTCGAGAATGTGTTTTTAAGGGCACGGATAGAGCTTCCGACCCCCCTTAATTTCATTGACCCTCCACACGAGTTGAGGAAAAGGAGTCAAAAAGTACTATGGAGAGTGCCAGATGTACAAAAATTGCTCTTGCTCGACTAATAAGGGTCGACCGTACAAAAGATTGCAGTTGGAACGCCCGCCAAGTGAATGAAAAAAAAAATGTAAAATGAAAGTGAAAAAAGGGGTTCCAACGGTGAAATGAAGTGAAAGAGCACCCCGGTACAAGGAGTCCTTGGTTGTGAATGGTGTGAGTCCCTTTACCCATGAGCTGGTTGTCTTACTTCCACTTCTTCTCATGATCCTGGCTTGAGTCTAGCACTCGCATTGAGAGAGATAGGGGACGTCTTAGAAGACCAGTTGACCTCGTAAGCTGCTATATGATCTAGAAAATCCTCTACCGATGATCGTGGTTGTTTGTTGCTATAGAGGTCTAGAGAGCTACATTGGTTTGAGTTAGGTTTGATTGGGGACAAGCAAACGGTTAAGTGTGGGGGAATTTGATACACCATTGATTGCACATGTTTTTACCTCCATTCTTGAGCCGTTTGAGAGTCGATTCTCGTGTTTTAAGCCGATTTCACGCTAGGTTGTGTGTTTATGTCATATTTCAGGACTTTGCGTTGACGTGAAGGTGAGGAAACGAGTTACGGGTAAAAAAGGAGGACATTGGAGTGAAGAGCGCTGGAATAGCAAAATACCCGGCCAGGAGTACCCGGCCGGGTAAATTGCTAAGAGAGGCCGGGGAAAACATTTTTTGGACGCCAAGAAGCAGGAGGGGTCCCGGACAGAGAGCAAAAATACCCAATCGGGTATTCTGGACCTCGATCGGGTATTAAACCCTTTGGTGTTGCGCTGCGTTTCGAAATCCCCGGCTGGACACTAGAAATACCCGACCAAGTATTATGGCCGGGGATCGCGATCTGCTGGTTCTTAAGGAAAAGAAGACCAATTTTTGAAGGGTTCCGAGTTTTAGAGAGACAAAGCTGATACCTAGAGAGAGAGAGAGAGAGAGAGAGTGTGACGAACCTGATTCTCCAAGCGCCCTAGATCGATCTTCATCACCATTGGAGCCCGGCTTGAGCTTGGAGAAGTGCTGATTGATTGCCAGAAGCAGAATCCCATCCTTCACAGTATGGTTTCCGCATCTGAGTTGTAATGTTTGTAAGTATGTTTTGTGATTTTGTATCAATTCGGTTTGTATCGTTTATCATTCTAGTTTGTCATTTTTATCTATTATAGTTGTAATGTTTATATGACTAATTTTTTCTAGTTTGTATATTTTATGTTGTGATTTGTATACTTTGTATTCATTGATTTGTAATACAAGTTTACTAATTTTGTATTGTAAGTAGTGACATTTTGTACTGACAGTATGTTTTGTAATGTTTGTCGGTCTAGCTTGTATAGTTCGTATGTTTTGTCGCTCTAGTTTGTATTGTTCATATATTTGTATGATTTGTACTATTTGTAAATATGGTTTGTATACTTCGTAATTTTCCATAATACCCAAACCAGGGACTAGGGATGGCAATCAAACCTATGGCCGCGGGTACCCGACCGCCCCATACCCAGTCAACGCGGGGAATCCCCGCTTTGACCGGGTATGGGTAAAACCCGCAAAAGGTTTGATGGATATGGGGCGGGTATGGTTTTAGCCTCCCCCGCCCCATACCCATACCCATACCCGCCCCACCAAGAGAATTTCTTCACATATCAAAAAATACGTAAATTAAATTGTAATCTATCAATGATGATGATGATAACTCGAGAAAATAAATAGTAGAAATGCAATTGAGTAACCACCTTAATCAAAACCTAATTCATTTCCCTCAATTCTCCTTCCACTCTTTCACTTTCCCCCTTGTCAACAAAATTATGTTAGTTAATTATTACTTAGTAAATGTACCAAGAGTTAGAGCATAATAATTTAAAAAATATTATAGTCTATATTATGTATTAATGGATGTTTTAGGATCATATTCTTTGAATCGCATTTAGAAAATGACCGTGTTTTGTTGACTTCGTGATATAATAGGTTTGTTTATGGTTATAATTAAAACTTTTCTTGTAAGTTTTAGGTATAATAATGTTGGATGTACGGGGATGGGTATTACCCATGGGTACCCGAAACCCACGGGTATGGGGATGGGTTTGCAAAACATTCCCCCGCATGGGTATGGGGCGGGTATGGGTTTGGGTATTTGAAGATGGGGATGGGGATGGTTTAGGCAAACCGGCCCCAAACCCGCCCCATTGCCATCCCTACCAGGGACGGACCCAGGGGCATTAAGGGGTGTCCTGGGACACACCTAAATTTTGGAAGATCGATTATCCAACCCAAGGTGGTAATTTATGTATAGACAAAAAAATTATAACTAATAGTCCGGGACACCCTAAAATTTGAAAGAACGATTATACTACTCTCGTTTGTAGTTTGCGTATGGGAATATAAGTGGTAGTTTGGGTAATTCAAACCCGGTACACTACTATTACTAATAAATTTAATTTCCATTCGACTACAACTTTTTTGTTGTTATATTCTAAACACTGTGTAATAGCAAAACCCTATTCTCTATCTTTAATTATTTTCAAAACCTAACAAATAATCTAATTACAAGCTACTTAATTTGTATTGATTTTATGGTTGTACGACAAGTGTTGAAAGTGTTTTTTCAGCTTTGAGTTACATCATGAACAAATTTAGAAGTAAAATATGCGTTAGTTCGTGAATGATTGTCTACCAGGATATACCAAGACAAATTTGTTGAGCAGTGTAGACACCAAGTGTATTTTATAATTTTATCAGAATATGAAAATACATCATTGACTTTTTTTAACTTGTACGAGTTGGATATTTTCTTATTTAAGAATAATATAAATTTTATTAATTATTTAATTTTATTTTACTTTATTTTTTGAAAGGGGACACACCCTATGTAAAATTCTTGGGTCCGCCACTGACCCAAACTGCCTCTATCATTAATTAAAAAGCTCTTCCTACCGTTTAACCGTCAGATTGGTGTGCCCAGATCTAATGGTTGGGAGAGATTTAGTCAAGTGACTAAGCAGCCTTTAGTCATCAGATCCGCTCTCCAGTTTCCACAACCTGCTCCTAGGATTAGGGGTGAAATCAGTACAGTATCGGTATACCAATACCAAATATCGAAATCCCGAATACCGAATTACACCCTAGAATCAATCCCAATCCCAATCCCTAAATATTTCGGTATCCCAATCGGTATTATCGAATACGAAATTAATTACCTTTATAATTAATAATTAAATATATAAATTAGATTTAATTGTTTAATATAGGTCAAAAAGACTAAACAAATAATTTTGAGTTTGGTTAGAGCTAGGATATGAATGAGGAGAATGGAGTAGAGGTGACATCTCAAGTTTTTGTCATTGGTAATCTTTAATTTGAGGAATTGGAGGCTGAGAGAAGACTAATACTATTGTTTGCTTTTAGGTGTTATGAAAATAACAATATAGTGGTGGTTGAGGGTAGTATAGTAGTGAATGAGAGAGTCTAGTTGAGAGGATAAAATACACACTAGCTTATATTTCGGTATTGTTCGGTATTTCGGTATATACCGATCCCAATCCCGTAATCCCTAATACCGAATAACAATTGAAATTGAATCCCAATCTCAATCCCAAGAAATAATACGTGTATTCGGTAATACCAGAGATAGACAAATTCAGTATGGTATTCGGTATATCCCAAATACCGGTACCAAACTTCCAGTCCTAGGGTTGGGTTTGGCCCGCCCAGCACGGGTCGGGTCGGGTTTGTTGACTTACTCATTGGTTATGCATTTCGTGAAAGGGGACACACCCTATGTAAAATTCATGGGTCCGCCACTGACCCAAACTGCCCCTATCATTAATTAAAAAGCTCTTCCCACCGTTTAACCGTTAGATTGGTGTACCCAGATCTAATGGTTGGGAGAGATTTAGTTAAGTGACTAAGCACCCTTTAGTCACCAGATCCGCTCTCCAGTTTCCACAACCTGCTCCTAGGATTAGGGGTGAAATCAGTACAGTATCGGTATACCAATACCAAATCTCGAAATCTCGAATACCGAATTACACCCTAGAATCAATCGCAATCCCAATCCCTAAATATTTCGGTATCCCAATCGGTATTATCGAATACGAAATTAATTACCTTTATAATTCAGAATTAAATATATAAATTAGATTTAATTGTTTAATATAGGTCAAAAAGACTAAACAAATAATTTTGAGTTTGGTTAGAGCTAGGATATGAATAAGGAGAATGGAGTAGAGGTGACATCTCAAGTTTTTGTCATTGGTAATCTTTAATTTGAGGAATTGGAGGCTGAGAGAAGACTAATACTAGTGTTTGCTTTTAGGTGTTATGAAAATAACAATATATTGGTTGGTGGTTGAGGGTAGTATAGTAGTGAATGAGAGAGTCTAGTTGAGAGGATAAAATACACACTAGCTTATATTTCGGTATTGTTCGGTATTTCGGTATATACCGATCCCAATCCCGTAATCCCTAATACCGAATAACAATTGAAATTGAATCCCAATCCCAAAAAATAATACGTGTATTCGGTAATACCAGATATAGACAAATTCAGTACGGTATTCGGTATATCCCAAATACCGGTACCAAACTTCCAGTTTTAGAGTTGGGTTTGGCCCACCCAGCACGGGCCGGGTTTGTTGACTTACTCATTGGTTATGCATTTCGTGCTCCCCCCCCTTCTCCGGTCTGGATAGTTCTAGGGATGGCAATTACCCACCCATGGGTAATTTTACCTAAATCCAAATAGATCCATTTAGTATGGGTAGGGTTTGGATGAAGTGTATATGGGTTTGGGGGTTTGTAGATGGGTTTGGGTTAGGTATGGATATTGCTTTCATAATGTAAATGGGTATGGGCTGGATATGGATATCCATTTACTTGATGGTGTTTTAACTACACACACCAAAATTGGACCTATTTGTAAAACTTGAAAAGTTTAGGTACCAAAATGTAAGACGGAAAAATTTTAGGTACCAAAACGTAATTTTCCATCGAAATTTTGAGGACTTATATGCAAAAAAAATTTAATTTAGGTACCAAATCTGCATATCTATTAAGTTTAGGTACCAAACTGTAATTTGCCTTTGGGCATGGGTACAAACCCAAATCCATGTGTTAAAAACCCAACCCAACCCAAGTAAATGGGTATGAGTACAAATTCATCAAACTCTACCCATCTACCATTTATTTGGAATCCATATCCAACCCAATTGGGTTGGATAGTAAAATACCCATGAGTATGGGCAAAATTGCCATCCCTAGATAGTTCCCTTTTCCCACATACACACACAGAGGACGAAGAGGACGAACGCCGGGAAAGAAAAGTTGGGGATTAGGGTTTTGAAGGTTGGGAAATATAATCACTGGGGATGGAAATAGTGGAGAAGAAGGAGGTGGAGAATCATAATAACGCGCAATCGATCTTACCCGGCGATTCCCTGGCCTCCGACGTTGTCGATAAAGAGGCAGAAGAGCGCCAAGCGCGTGAACTCAAAGCCGGTTTGCACCCTCTCAAGGTTCTCCTCTTTCCCTCTCTTTCGGGTTGGGGTTGCTGTTGATTAGAATGATTTTGCGATGCCTTTCGATCACATGTGAGGAAGTGCGTTGGCTATGTTGGTTGATTTTTGTTTTTTATTTTTATTTTCCCTTCTCTTTTGAATTTGAGAAGAATGACGGGCAGATGATATGTATAAATTACCCTTGTTTTTTGCCCAGTCGGAGGACGAATGAGCTAGCTAAATGGGAGTCTTACTATAAGATTGAAATTGAGTTAGCTCGCAGGTTCGAGCATTGCATATTTGCATTGGACTCGGTTTCCCTGGTTTTTGTTCTGCCTAACTGACTTCATGTTCCGTGAGGACAAATTTTGGATTGCTAGGATTGTCTGGGTCAGATTGTAAACTGGAATCTCACGGTATGGTTTATGAAATGATTATGTTTTGTATTCGGGGATGGCAAAAGCTTGGAAGGTTTCAATCTTTGTCTTGAAGTCTTGTTTAAGTCATGGGCTTTTTGTAATTGGGATTCAGAAGAGACCACAGCTCTGATATGTGCTCTCGAATTCAGATGTCGTTTGATGGATGCTGGTTTGTGAAGTTTAAGCATCGAAGTTGGAGTCTGATTCATTGCTTATGTGGTTGATGTGGGCGTTTGAGTGGATGTCAGGATTGTCACTGATATATTAGCCTGCTGAAAACTTACACAGTTGCTTCATCTGTTTTGTCACAGTATATGGCTACTTTTCCTTTCTGAAATAAATTTCTATCTGAGTACGGGATTGTTTATTGCTGTGTGTGATCAGTACAAATATGTATTCTGGTATACTCGCCGAACACCAGGAGTCAGAACACAGACCTCATATGAAGACAATATAAAGAAAATTGTTGGTTTCAGTACGGTAAGTTCCTTTCTCCAATAAAAAGTTTGATGTGATTTATATATAACTAACTGAAGTTCGGTCATCTCATTTATAACCCCTTATATTTGTGATTGGATTTTCTACGCAGGTTGAAACTTTTTGGGTCTGCTATTGCCACTTGGCTCGCCCCTCTTCTCTGCCAAGTCCTACGGATCTGCATCTTTTCAAGGAGGGTATTCGCCCTTTGTGGGAGGTAAAGCTTCATTGCAAGATCCATCAGTAGCATAAGCCATTGTGTGGGCTAAGTTCCTTGTTTCATCACCTGCTTTTGGGAATTGATAACAGGACAGTGCTAATTCCAGTGGTGGGAAATGGATAATACGATTCAAGAAGGTCGTCTCTGGTCGCTTCTGGGAGGATCTGGTAAGTGCCAATTTTCAGGATCCTTACATTATGTTCAAGTAAAGCATGCATCATTTTATATAACCATCCGTAGTTGAGCTAATAAACTCTTTCACTATTTCAAACCTGTGGACATGCTCCTGTTGCCCCAATTCAGATTGCGACAGTGAAATTGTCTGTCACATATTTTAATCCCTCAGTGGCTTCAAATACTTTGTTCCATTGATAACTCACCTCCGAGTCTGAACTTGTGCATTCAGGTTCTTGCCTTGGTAGGTGACCAACTTGAGTACAGCGATAGCATTTGTGGTGCAGTATTAAGCATCCGATTCAATGAAGATATACTGAGCGTATGGAATCGGAATGCATCTGATCATCAGGTTATTAATAATTCTTCCCCTTCCGTTTATGTATTCCTTTTTATCTCTTGATATAAGAAGTCCCCGCTTATATGGGAGTGACAAGAGGGGTTATGTTGCTTATGCCCTAACTGTGGTTGCTTGGCTATTGTTTTAGGCTGTGATGTCTCTGAGAGACTCAATCAAGAGGCATTTGAAGCTTCCGCACAGCTACGTGATGGAGTACAAGCCCCATGATGCTTCTCTTCGTGACAACTCATCTTACAGAAACACATGGCTGAGTAGATAGCTTGTAGCGCCAGAATGGGAAATGAAAGTGTGGAGAAGCTATTATTGCCTTATCCTCGTGTTATGCTCCACTTGCCAAACATGGCCTGAGGATCCATCAACTTTGTACTGCCAGACAACCTGTGTAAGGATGGTTGTCTTGATCTTCTTGTTGGTTGAACAGTGAATGACAGTGCTGGTTTTGTTGTCCGATTTTTTTTTTGTCTTTTTGGTTTGTTCAGATCAAACTGAAACCGATAAGCCCCTTATTTATTTCGATTTTTGGAGAAGTGACTGTTTCGAGTTCCAATTTTTACAGCTCAATACCGAGAGCCCTATTCAGTAAAACAAGAGTAACCATATGGTTAAAAGATTTGACGAACTTATCCATGAATTAGATTTGATGAGCTTATCCATGAATCAAGGGAAAATCAAATGGGGACAGATCAAATTTAACATTCATATATAATATATTTACTGTGTCCGGAATCCGAATGTGAGACTATTTCACAGGCACCCCGCTATCAGAACTTGAAAGAAGCACAGCTGCACAGCTTCTTTAATGGTCTTCTCCATGGATCTTTCTTCAGGGCGCAGTGAACTGTCAACCCTACACAGATGATGGAAGGCCGACGATGCCTGGCACGGTGCAAACAGACAACAGTTGTTAAGGTTCTAATGAAAGTAATTGGCCAGAGAAATTGGAAATGGCAATCTCGGTTTATGGAGAGAGAACATCCGAGTTACCACAAAATAGATAAGTTCCTCCGTACTCCCAACGGAAAATATGATATTAGTGTAATGATAATATAGTATACGATTTACAGGAATACATATTCATCCAACAAGAAAAATATATTCTTATAATAGATAGTAGTATGAAATCAAGCCTTCTAGAATATGATATTTATGTTATGTGAATATGATATTCATATTCTTGAAGGCTTGATGATATTTATGGTATGAGAATATGATATTCTTGAAGTTTTGATTTCATACTACTATCTATTATAAGAATACATTTTTCTTGTTGGACGAATATGTATTTCTGTAAATCGTATACTATATTATCATCACACAAATATCATATTTTCTGTTGGGAGGACGTCTTCCCAACAGTTGGTGGGAGGACCATATCCGATCCGAGTTGCCACACCCAACTCTTGCACCCGCGTTTGCATTAGTAGTCTTGCTGAGCTCATGCCTACATGCGTTTCCTTCACGGTAAACATACAAGCAAAGCAATCAAAATTCGGATTTAAATTATAAAATCCTACAATTTAACATTTTACTTAACTTTTCGATCATGATTTCACTATAAAATCTATGTACCAGAAAATCCTACACGATTCATGATTTAAATTCCTAAAATCTTACGATTTTTATTCAAATTTATGGGTCAAGTTTACTTACTTTTCCTAGAAGTTAAAAAACTACGCCTCTTTTCCTTCTCCTCTACCAAAATTATCTAGTTTTCTCACACTAACCACCATCGACTATCATCAATTCACATTATCGATTCACCACTTCTCAACATTAATTGGACCCGTTCTCTGAAATTTCAATCCATGTTTTGCACAAAACTTGATCATTGGCCTCCTTCCAATTCGGTGGGGCGATTGCTTTGAGACATAATCAGGCGTTTGGGAGGAAGGGATTTTTTAATGAGAAGAAGATGAGTATCACAATTAGGGATGACAATTATCCCAAACCCATGGGTAAATTTACCCAAACCCAAATAGATCCATTCATTATGGGTAGGGTATGAATGAAGTGTGTATGGGTTTGGGGTTTGCAGATGAGTTTGGGTAGAGCATGGATCTTGCTTTGGTAATCTAAATGGGTATGAGTTGGGTATGAATCAAGGTTCAAAAAGGCGTTAGGCGTAAGGCGAGCGCTCGGCTCCTGACTTGCGCCTAGCCTGATTAAGCGTAGCCTAGGCGTTCCTATAATACTTCATATGATCACTAATTCATATAAAATTAGAAACTCCTAGTTTTCAACAGTTAACGATTATTATAACAAATAACAAGCAAGTTGTGACCATTTTCTAGAATGATAAGTTCATAAGAAATCAAAATACTAAACAATAGTAAATAAACAGAAAAGTTCATTCTTGATCATTCAAGTAGGTCCGTCCAGTCACCATTTCTTCTTTATCATCCTTAAACACAATCTTAATTTTTCGTCCTCCTCCTTACCCTCTTCTTCAAACTCGAATTCTTCAACATGGAGCTCTCTCACTCTTGCACTCCTACAAAGCTCACAGTGGAGCTCTCTCGTCCATTATAGATACTAGATAGGTAAATCTATTATATAAAACAAATTAATAAATAATTGAGAAATGTAATTTCTTATAGAAAACAAATTAATACTAGCTTATCCATATTTGGTTGCCGTTTGTTTTTGTTAATCAATTATAAAAATTTGGTTGAGATATAACCCCATGTGGCTATCTTGTCTCATCTCAAGTTCCACTTAAATAATAAATTAGTGCTCCTGGTAGTTTAAACTAAAGCCACGATGAAAGCGTACTTGTTAGAAGAATTGCAAACACACAAAGAGTTTAAATCCATTCCCCAAGAAGGCTGAGATGGAAACGGGGCCGTTCAGGGAATCAAGATGGCCCTAATGCCTAGCCCCAATTTAGCGCTTTCGGGCGACCGCTTAGGAGCTTTCCAGACAGCTTAGGCGCTATTATTTTTAATTATGCGCGCCTAGCGCTTTTTCTTGCGCTTTTGTCAAAAGCGAAGCGCTCTTCCATTGCCTAGCGCATAATTAAGCCTAGACGCGCCTTATTGAACCCTGCTATGAATACCCATTTACTTGAGTATATTTTAACTACACATACAAAATAGGACATATTTGTAAAACTATAACAGTTTAGGTATGAAAATGTAATATGCAAAAATTTTAGGTACTAAAATATAATTTTCTATCAATATTTTGAGGAATTATATGCAAAAGGATTAAATTTAGATACTAAATGTAAAGATCTATTAAGTTTAGGTACCAAACTATAATTTGCAAATGGATATGGACACAAACCCAAATTCATGGATTAAAAACCCAACCCAACCTAAATAAATGGGTATGAACATGAACTTATCAAACTCTACCCAACCTAAATAAATGGGTATGGGTATAAACTTATCAAACTCTACCCATTTACCATCTATTTGGATTTCATATCCAATAGAGATGGCAATTTTACCCATACTCATGGGTATTTTACTATCCAACCCAATTAGGTTGGGTATGGAATCCAAATAGATGGTTGATGGGTTTGTACCCATACCCATTTACTTGAGTTCGGTTGGGTTGGATTTTTAACAAATAGATTTAGATTTGTACTCATGCCCAAATACAAATTACAATATGGTACCTAAACTTAATAAATACACATATTTAGTACCTAAATTTAATTTTTTTTTGCATATACGTCCTCAAAATATCGATGGAAAATTACATTTTAGTACCTAATTTTTTGTCTACATTTTGGTACCTAAACTTTTCAAGTTTTACAAATAGGTCCAATTTTTGTATGTGTAGTTAAAACAACCTCAAGTAAATGGATATCCATATCCAACCCATACCCATTTAGATTACGAAAGCCTAACCTAAACCCATCTACAAACCCCCAAACTCATATACACCTCATGCAAACCGTACCCTAATGAATGGGTCTACTTGGGTTTGGGCAAAATTACCAATGATTGGGTAAATTGTCATCCCTAATATCCAATTCAATTGAGTTGGATAGGAAAATACCCATGGGTATGGACAAAATTGTCATCCCTAATCACAATTGGAGAGAAATGGGAGGAAGAAAATGGAAGTGATGAAGTAGAAGTGAAGGAATTGGTGGTATTTATAGAGAAATTTGGCAAAAACTACTTGTTGGGACTGAAAGAGCCATTGGGATCTAAAATGTAGTTTTTTATAGAGAAATTAGGGTGCTGAAATGTAGTTTTTTTAACTAACAAAGGATCTATTACAGGAAGTGCCGCGTGTGGCACGTGTGTAGCGGACGCAAGGGAGGGGTTGGCGGAGCGTGCGCCTAGCATGCAATCGCCCCCTTCGGCGCGTCGGCTTTCCCTCTTCCTGTGGTCTTGCCTGGTTTTGGACTTTCTGGTCCAAAATTGGACCCACATTCAAGATCAAATGGAACTTTTGGATCTTTCAAACCACACTAAAGTGATCTTGGTCCAATTTTTTGGAATTTCAGCCCACTACTAAAGTTGGTCTAAAGATAGTCTGAAGCAAACTCAATTAGCGGGTCAGCTACGTTGCCAAGTAAAATTCATTTTTAATGAGATAATAACAAACCGATTCATAAAAAGACAAATATCACACCTAGCATTTTTAGTTAACCCTCATATCAAGGTTTGTTTTGTGCCAATTCATGTGCATAAATGCTTGAACATCGTCGATTACATCCCTATTTCGTTCCTATGTGAATTCGATGTGATTTTAGGGTGTATTAGACCCTATATGTGAATTAGGTACAAAACAAGGTCACATGTGTAGCAACGGGGCAGGAAGCTGAAGATCGTGGCGTGGAAGCTAAAGATCACGACCGAGAAGATAGACCGCAAACTCAAGTCAAAGATTGCGGCCCGGAAGCCCCATATCGCGGTCGCGAATGGTAGGGCTCAGGGGGCAAACTTCATGAGGAAGGAGCCAAGGAGAAACAGAGAGTTCCCCCAGTCAAACCACTGTCGTAGTGTTATCAGACTGCGAGGAAGAATGCGTCCACAACTAGTGGATCGCGACCGCGAAGTCAGCCCACAATCTCCTCATTTCCGAAGGCCATGACAACACTGTTCCAAGATCACAGTCTCACTTTCGAAGATCATGACCGCGATCTCTGTGCTTCTGGCCGCGAAATTTTCCGTCCCAAGATTGCCTATAAATAGAAGACCCCTTTATCCTTTTTAGATGTGCCGTTTTTGAGAGAAATTTCTGGTTTTAGAGAGAGAGAAGCTGAAGGAAGGAGAAGAAGGAGCTAGAAGAGACGGAGCATATTTCTCAACCCAAGTCTTCTTCAATTTCTTCTTTCCTCCTTTACGGAGTAGTCCTCTAAGGTACTAGGGGTTCTAAACCCAAACCCTAGTTTTAGTGTTTATTATGTATGTATGAATAGTTTTAGAGTTTGAATGAATGAATGTGTTTATCTAGTTGATTCTATTGCTATTCTATCATTGATTGTGTTTGGGTAAGTCTCCCTAATCTTCTTTATTAGCCTACTTTATGCTTCTACGCTAGGTAGGAAGTTCGAGGGTCAGACGGGTATGCGCCATCAAGCCAATCGTGATAGATGTATGAATAGGAACCTATGGTGGCCGAGGCGACCGAACCCCTACCGTAGGTTAGCC